GTGATGAAACTGATTTCGCAATGTTCAACGTCGCGGAATAGGATAACTGCTCAACACAAGCCGTAATTAGTAGAACCCCAACTAGGTCACTAGGCCTGCCTGTAACAGGCACAGACCACCATTTTTAGGCCTGGCCGAACCCTTCGACAGGACAGGCAGGCCATTTAAAGATGCCAGACAGCCTGGCCTGTCAAGTTTATTTCCTCGATATGAAACTTTTACTGCATAGATGAAATTTATTTCTAAACAAATTCAGTTGAGTCGGTTTTTGAAGATGATATTTGCCTCTAAAGAATTTGATCAATACTCGAGAATAAATACTGTTGATATACATACATAATCAAAACTACTACTAACATTAAGAAGTTATCACTATAAAAGAGAGGCTCAATAGATGATGAAACCTCCTCCCTCTCGAAAAATTTGTTTTTTTTCTACCTAAAATTAATTGAGAAGAGCTTCGAAAGTGAACTCTGATAGAATTAGCTCTGTTACTTCTATTTGAGCTATAAATGACATTTTTATCTGCCAGACTCATCCAAAATATTCTCAAACAAGAGCAGGATTGTTTTCTCGAATATTAGTGCCTTTTTATTTCTTTAGTTTCCTAGATACCAATGCTTTTCAATTCATATTAAATGTAGAATAAGAATGCATACTGTCAGTGCCTTTATAATGGCTGCATCTCCCTATAGTGAGTGAATAGTTTTATTTGGCTTTGAGCGATTTCTGCTCGAAATCGATCACTTCCTAACGAAAGCCTCCTTATAATGATATATAAATGTTTCTTTTCTGACTTCGACCAACTACAAAAAAAGGGTCTGACAATAATGACTTTTGTTCGATTTCTATTCTCATACACTCTGATGCACAGATCAGAAAGGAACATCTCTGTATAGTGAGCACTTAAATATTTTCTTGAATGTTCACATTAGAAAACTTTATTGCTGTCTTCTAGACTGACTACAGTGACTTATTGAACTTTCTATAAAGATTGATGCGAAATTATAACTTATTATGGCTATGATATTGGCTATTAAGAAAAGTAGACAGATCTTGCTAGGCAGGCCGAACAAAACGACAGGCAGGCAGGCCAGGCCTGCAAAAAGTGAGCCTAGTTGGATCTCTGATAATTAGTAAGGTTGAATGCGTTTTTGAAAATTGTCCTCTGCTTCGGAGAAATAAACGCTAACTAATACTCTTTTCGATTATTGTGTAGTTCACTCTAGCGTAAAAGCTTTGGTTACCGTGAAATTAAGAAAAACATGCTAATAATACTCGTAAGAGGTTTCTAGAAAATAAATGAGAAATTTTAAAATTTAAAGAAGGTTTTTTTTTGCTTCATTGTAACCTTATGAATTATTTTGAGCCTACCCTAAATTGATGCTGTTCCGCGGTAGGGTGGGTGAGTGTGAGTGTGAGCGTGTGTGGCTGGGAGGGGGGTGTGACTGTGGGTGTGGGGGTGGATGTACTCTCAGAAACGACCCATACTCACACCGACACCCGCTCACACTCACACCTACGCCCACGCCCACACTCACGCTTACACCCATTGTAGAGTTCGCTGAATACAGCTCCTGAATTTCTCTCTTACTTTTTAACTGTTATTTGTAGAGCTCGCCAAATATAGCTTTTGTTCTTGTCTATAGCCTAGCTGCAATTTGTAGAGTTCGTTGGTAATCATTGTGACAATATCTGTAAAAGATAATCTATTAGATCATAGTGATGGACTGTGATAAAACTTTTGTAAAAGTTTCATATTACTTTGATTAGAATTCTGCTTATCTATGCCCAAATCGTCAATCCTTGCTCGTGCTTTATAAGTACTAGTTTATTAGTAATAAAAATCAGTTTATTGAGTAAGAGTATGTCCAAAATATTAAATTTTGTTTTAGAAAACCGATTTTAAGTGTAATTGATAAAAATATAATGCTTTTCTTAACGACTTAGGTTACTTTCCATATGAGTTTGCGACTGCATAGAATGTTATCTCATTATAACACACCACAAAAAGAAAAAGGATCATCATACTATTCATTTACATCAGGCTTAGCCTTCAACTGATTGTCGCTATTCTAGATCGAAAAATTTATTGTAAATAATAACTCATATCCTCTGTAAATTGCAGTAACTTACTTAATTTGAAAACTTTCTCTAACTAGAAACTCGCTTCCTCTACAAATTGCAAGTCCTTAGTTTAAAAACTTTCGCTAATCGAAAACTCACGTTCCCTACAAATTACAGAAACTCTACTCAATTTAAAATCGCATTCTAATAGACAGCTGACGGTCTCTACAAACTACAGCAACTCTATTCGATTTAAAACCTCATTCTGATAGATAACTGACGCCCTCTATAAATTACAGTCAATTAAAAGAAAAAGATAAAAAGTTATATTTAGGGAACTTTACAAGTTGCAGCAATTCTGCTTTGAAAAACATTTTTCAAATTATAAGTTTTAAAAAATTTATTTTCTAGATGTACTCTCATTAAGCAAATCATTGACAATCTATCTTCAAAAAATTTAATTGTTTTCAATAAGCTTTATAAGTTTACTAATTTCATAATTAACCGAAAAGTAAAAACATTTTGACTTTGTTTAAACTTGATTTATTTATGTTCGCAAATGAGAAGTAGCCCATTATTCTACACTGACATTTGTTTTTAAATCTAATAAGTTATAGCGTAATTCTTATCCTTCAAAGATGTGCTCATATGGCTGGTGAGTCAATAAATAATCTCCGCATTAAGTCTTTGAGTTGTACATCATCTTAAAAGAGGAAGAAACCAAACAGAACGATATTATTGTATGTCTAATTTTGAATGGCATAAATTTGGTAAAAACAATGCCGAAAGTAAAAAATATCGAGAGTAGTGGCGTAACCAAGGTAGGGCATGAGTGGGCTCAGCCCACTCACCGAGCCTGTTCGCCCACTCACCGATAATTTTTAAAAAAAGCAAATTTTCTATAACAATATTTGTAGTGGCGTATCTAAAGAGGGTATGAGTGGACAGCGCCCTCTCACACAAGGTCTCTGTTCACACACCGATGGGAAAAAATGTTAAATAAATACATAGACATTTTCGTTGTCTTAGCATAGTAGAGTCATTTCGTAAGAGAGTGGGGCGCAGGGTTGCCAGATCGAAAATTAAAAAACCGGAAAAACGTCGGCATTTTTATTCTCAAAATCAGAAAAAATCGGAAAGTATTTTTTTTAATGCTTAAATAGCTAGTCTGTTTGATTCAAATAGGGCTATATCCTTTATCTTGCTTCTATTAATTTTTCGAAATAATATTTTAAAAGATACTTCATAAAAAATTAAAGAAAATATAAGTTTACATAGGCAATTTACGCATTGTCAACAAATCCACATAAGTCACTTAAACAAGGTCAGATTGTTTTTTTTAAAAATCCTGTAACCAACTTGACAAAAGAATAAAATTAGCATTGTAAATTCATACGCACACATGCATTTCACACAAATTGTCCAACAGAAACTAAGATTTATTCTGTATAACGTTTTTGTTCATACTTTCTTATTAGCTCTAATGTCCTTCAAAACACCAGATTGAGGCAACACATACTATAAAAATGTCCACAAGGATGAACGGAACTCATTTTGATTTTCAATTCTACAACAGCTAATTTAGTACCCACATGTTATGATTAGTTTTATTAAATCTGTAATGAAATAAAAAAATATTCAAAAAGGAAAATATTCTTAATTATCAGTGTAGTAAACGAACAGAGAAAATTAGTTCATCGCGATAGAAAAGTGGATATTTGCTGTCTGTAAAACGTCCTAATTTTATTGGAGGATAAGCTTTCAGAGCACTGAAGTGCACTTTGTGAAGCTCATGGCACTCTACCACCCAATAATTATAGTGAAATAGATCGCAATATACATACTGTAGCGAGTCAATCTTAAATTATTCTAGAATATTCTAAGAACTTGAATTTATATAAAAGACTCCAAAAACCGGAGAAAAATTAGGAAATCGGAAGGTGGTCGGAAAAATATGCCTAAATCGCAGTGTAGGAAAGTCGTCGGAAAATGTTTCAAAAATCGGAATTTTTCCAGCCAAATCGGAAGATCTGGCAACCCTGGTGGGGCGCCGCCCACCCACGCATGATTTTCTGGTTACGCCACTAATCGAGAGTGCTATTAATTCAGCTTCGGCACACCCGTTTATCGACACAGCATGAACAATCTGCAGAAGGATCTATATCCTGCATTTGCATATGATTAGTGTGTACTAAAGAGCCATTAATAATGCTTTCGATATTTTTTTTTCGACGTTTTTATTTCTGCCAAATTTATACATATCGCAATTTCTATTCAATAGTTCCTATAAACTTATATTTTATTAAGACATATGCATAAAAATTTGTTAACATTTGAAAGACGTTCATTTTTCTGTTGACAAAAAAATACGCAACGTAAAGAAAACTAGACATATAGACTGACTTACAATAACATACTAAGAAGCAGTGGGCTATTTTATGCAATTTTTAAAATTGTTTATTTAGTAGTTATTTTAGACAGGGCGGGCTTCTATGCTGTGAGGGATTTAATCCCCAGAAGGTTAACAATCGTACCCAAGATGGACTCAGGAACTTGCTATAGTACCCCAATCTATCTCAGAGAGTTATTGATAATATTTTGGCATGCTGTCCGAATAGAATTAAAGAAGAGTCACTCACGCTCATGAGCGCTCATTTGAGCGTGAGCTGTACAGCCCTAGTCTGAACACTTTTTCATATTAGATTTTCATTTTGTATATGTTAGTGTTTATTCTCACATTTGGTCCCATCTCTAACCTATGTAGATTAGTTGATGATGAGCGTCACACATGACTACTTTTGCGAATAAAAATACATCGTACAAAGGACAGACATTGTTTTCATATTCACATTTATTATACAAAACAAACAATATCCATTGAGAGGAAATATGTACATTTGTTTTTTTTATTCATTACATTTTCTAGATTAAATATGAGCTCCAGTTTAACTGCACGTGATAAACGTATTGCAGAATGGTGGTGGCAGGATTTGGTGGGTTTTTCGGGTCAGCGACCCAATCACAAATGTTCGCACGTATACATGAAAACTCTCATTGATATAGCTGCAGCTGATGGGGTACTCCACGAGAAAGAACTCAAGTATGTATTGGGTATGGCTTCTGTCGGAGGTAAATTTCTTGGCATTGTTCTTCAAGAATATATTTCACTGTATAAATTAGGACAAGATGAACATCTCATCAAGGAACTTGAAGCATATCGACCAGGTACTTCCATTGATACTCAGAAGATGTTTAACGATACAGACACGGCTTATGTGGCATCCACTCGACCAAGTCTCGTCTACTTTGCACATCGGGCGGCATCCGCCGATGGTGAATTACACCCAAAAGAATTGGAAGCCATTCATGCTGTTGCCAAGAAACTTGGTAGTAGTGACGAAGAAATTCAAAAGGTGCTTGCTCTCTGTGATGAAGAAGAAAAACTGCGTAAAAAACGGATATCAATTCTTTATCCACAAGGCCTTGGCACGGCTATAAACAGCTACGAAGAAAAGTTTTCGTGAAAGCTCATTCTCCTCAAAATATTCATTGTTGACAAGCTATCAATAATATTTAAACTATATATCATTATATTTAATTAATTTAAGATATTTCTAATAATTTAGATTTTATTAGTTTTCTTTTATTCAATGGAATTTCCTACTAATATTTTTATTGAACAATATAATAAAAATTTAATTAATCGTGAAATGTGAAGTTGAATTTATCAGTGTGTGTGAATGTAGATGACCGAAAAATTCATTGTGAATAATTTGTCGAAATCATCTATATATATAAAGAAGAAAGTTTGTTTGTTTGTTTGTTCGTTATGCATTTGGACATGGTGCAACCAAATGCGACCAAACTTTCCAAGAATCCTCTTCTCACCCAGGGGGAGGTCAATAGCTACTTTTTACCCAAAAAAATGCAGTCCTTCGCCTGCAGCAAAGTCACCTTTCAATCTGACCAATCAGATTGCAGCATTCCGTAGCATTAGGGAACGATTCAGTAGCATATTCAGATCAAATAGAAGACGTCTACCCAGGGGATTTTGAGGGTACTGAGAATGAATCTGTGGTCCATTTGCCTCGAAATTTGATTTGTTGGCCGAAAATCAATCGGAATTCAGTTATCCAGAAACAACCTAATCAAACGTGCGTTTTCGTGAAGAAAGTCAGGTAGGGGTTTTTAGAGGCACCAAGTTCGAATCCGGGCCCAATCACCTTGAAATCTGATTGGTCAGCCTGAAACCAATGGGAATTCAGGTGCCAAGAATCCAGATAATCAAACTAAGGTTTTTGGCAAAAAAAGTCAGGTGGGAGTTTTTAGAGGCGGTGAGTTCGAATGAGGAGTCCAATCATCGGAAAATCTTATTGGTTAGCTTAAAACCAATAGAAATCGAGGTTTTTGGGAAAACGAATATCGTTGGATGGTCGGAAGGCGGTGTAGCGCAATATTGGTGGAGATGTTTCGTTTTCATAATTCTTCAAACCAGCCCATGCTAATACAATTGCATTGAGCATACAATGCTTAACTAGCGATCTATAAAAATACGTTTACTAATGCAAAAACTACGTTCAAATCGTTCGACTAATCGCAAAATATCAACATCGTATTTTTTGGCAGCTTCATCAATCACATAACGTTTTGGTGGCAGATTATCGAAGGCGAGCACCAGTAATTCGGCTTTAGTGGCTTTAACAGGAACTGAGATATTATGATTTATCAGCCACTGGATGATAAGTTCTTTCCGCCATGCCCTCTTCGGAGGGATGGTGTCTTCAGTAAGTTGGTTATGCCATGTCGCATTATCAATAATTAAGACAATCTTGACATGTTGACCTAAATATAACAACAATGGAGTCCATAGTAAAAGATTATTAATTATGTTACCAAACTCTTCTCTCAAAAGAGAGGTTGTTCGATCGATCGATACTATGGTTTTCGTCACACTCGAATATGTCGATTGTTTCCTTATGGAAACCTGATTCATTTAGAAGAGCAGAAATGGCTAATCTTCTTCCTATAATCATAAACAATAATCATTTGAATTACAACAGAAATAATGAATACCTTTATTCTGGTCACGCCGGATTCGACCTATGCCTGTTGTTCCATCAGCCCAAACAAAACGCCTCTCTTCATTTTTATTGGCCCATGTATCATCGTGCCAAAAAATCTTGGTATCACTGGTACGCAATTCATCAAGAGTAGCAGAATAGCGCGCACACGTTGCCATAAACGTGGGGGTATCGAGTGGTACGATGACTTTGGATGTTCGTTTATATACAAATCCAAGTTTTTTCATCCAGCGTCATAGCAATGTCGTTGATTGGATAGAAAAATCAGCATTGGCAGCTCGAATACGGGTAAAAATTTTTTTGACGGTGGGGGTAGATTTGCTCGGCCAAAAGGGAATGAACATGAAATCTAAAACATGCTTATGTTGATGTTGCTCTTTAGTTATCTTCGATTGAATTAAACTCACCTTATATTCTCCTACTGTTGTTCCGTTAAAATAGTTGATGGACGACCACTATTTGATAGTTTACGCCGCGGGCGAGGACCAGGATTACTGATTGCCATGGTGTTGATGCTGGTTATGGATAATGAGGATGACGACGATGACCTTGATTGTAGATTTCGGAGTCGACTAAGCACCTGAACTTTTTGATTCTCCAGCTCTTCTTTGTCCTCATCCATTTTTCTCTTCCTTTCCATTATATCATGTTCGATTTCATTTATCTCGCTCTTTAATCGTGCGACAGATCTCATAGAAATACCAAGCATAGATGATAGTCGTTCATTGACGTTGAAAAATATCTGCTTTATGTCTTGAGAAAATTCATGGCCTGTAGGCATATTTATAGCGATTGTCAGCAGTAGAAATAACTATTGGCCGCTTAAATTACGTTATCGTATAATCAGTAAGAAAAATACACCAATCGGAACGCAAAAATATGATTCAATATATGCATGGTCCTAATAGATCACTACCTGTTTATGAAATAAATTTCAACAATTTTATATGAATCGATGCGCTGTCTCAGCCTCTTTCCAACGGTGAAAACCGCAGTTCTCTATCTTGTTCCTATCAAAAGTTATTCAAAAAATACCCACGTGCCTTTTATTTTGAAATGGGCAATAGTTTTTTAATTTGTATTTTTGTAAAATTTATTAAACTCTAATGTAAATTACAAATAATTTAATTTGATAATAATTTTAGCATGTTTTTATTATTAATTTACTTTATTTTAAGTACGAATTCTGATGATTTAAACTAAAAAT